TGCCCATAAACTCAGCAATTTTAACATCTCACAAGTATCATCACTCCCTGCAGCCACAGCTCCTCCTCTGCTTCTTTTTGTGGCCTTGTATTCAACAAAAGTAAGTTGGCAAACTTACAAAACACCATTGTTCACATAAAATGTGGGCTTCTGCTGCTAATTCTTCACATTTTTGACATTGAAGCAGAACTCTTTCTCAAATATTTGAAATTCATACAATTTAATAAAAAATGCCTTCTGCCCAATTTTCATCCAACACCTCTTGAATATTTTACAACGTTAGCACCAAGCTCCAGGGTTACTGATACTTTCTGGATTCACATATTAGTTTTTTCAGAGTAAAATTAACGTCATGTTATCAGGAAATCAAATCCAAAGAATCTTGTGTGGAGAGATCTACCCATCAGTGTGGAAGAGCTGAGGGTTTGCTACTTTAATGTGCAGCCACACAATGTCAGTCCCTCCATCGTTCCTGCTCTGTTCTCCCTCGAACGTGACACGGGCAAACCAGAGCTCTCTCAAATTAAAAAGCAGAAATCCATCTACTCCCATACCTCCTGGCATTCTTGTCTTCTGCCACTCCTGTGCTTATACAGCTGTTCTTCCCCAGCTGAACTCCACCCTTACAGGAAAGATCCCACACTGCAAATGCCAGACAACACAGGACAAGTCGCCTGTTATCCAAGTGTTTGGCCACCTTCATCACCCTGAGCTGGCCTTTTTATCCAAAAATGATGCAAACTTGACAGGAAGTTTTCTCCAATAAACAGAATATGAACTGACAAAGGGGCTTAAAACTAAGTTCACCTACTTAATAGTTAATCAGAAAATTATGAGAAAATGTAAAAGCAGCTTTAATTGAGACATTTGTTCATAGCAAATTAACGATTCCACTGAGATTGCTTTGGAGGTATTTTAGCTTGATATGAATGAAAATATCTTTACCTCATTCACCCTTACAGTATTCTCCATGCAAAAAAGCTGACATTAGGCGGATTGAAAAAGAGGCAAAGAAAAAAAAACAAACAAAAAACCAAGCCAAACCTCAAACACACAGCTTTTATATGGCTAATGAACAATAGCCACTTACAGGCCCTCATATCATTAAAGTACTACACAATATAAATTAATAGATACTGCAATTAAGATTAAGTAATGAGAAGGCTAAAAACTGCTCCTGGTGGCTTCTCAATTAAATGGGGAATGAAAAAAGCAAAACAAATCATACACACAACAGTTACGGGGCATGATTTTCTAGATCTGAAAGTTTTATTTGCTGAGATGAGATAAACTAGGGTAAGAAAAAATTAAAAATAATATTTGTGCAAACACAAAATTGAAAATTTGTTATATTAAGGAGCCTGTGCCCTGCAAAACAAGTTAAACCTGGACTAAAATAAAATGCCATTGAAATACAATGAGATTGCAGGATGAACAGAATTGCTGTAACCATTGCCAAGCACGCTTTGAACACAGGGCAAATAAGGGGTCATATAACACTGGGAAGAGGGAATTAAATTCAGTGATAGCATGGCAGAGCTTGCACTGTGGCATCAGACACTGTCATTGCACAGCCCAGGAAAACTGCTGCTTGCAAAGAAATCTGATGCCAACTAAAGAATGTAGTGAAGAACTAAATCAAAGTACTAGCATAATCCACATCTGATATTCCTACAATAGGGTTGAAGAAAACAAAAACTTATTCTTCACCACAGTACTTATATCTATTTCTTATTCAAAATGTGACCTTCTGCCATGAAACTGAGTTTACAGGAGAAAGATGCAAACTAAAACAGTGTCTTAAGCAAGACTACCCAATGCTTTGGTTTCATGGTGTGCCCTGGTGCCCTTTCATATGTTCACGTGGAAGGATTTTGTTTGATATCTGAGCAAAAGGATAATTTCCCCAAAGAGGATGGAATACAACACAGCCCTTTCCATGCTTTACTACAAGGCCTTCTAAGAATAATGAATGTTCTTATGCTGGTATCATTATAATAGCAAGAGGTAAGGGTTTCTCAGGTTAGAATCAAATAGAAGTGAAACCACTACAGCTGATGGTTTGGTCAAGTTTGCTGTTTTCTTGTTCCAATATAAAATTATTTTTTGTTCAGATCCTAAGGGTAACATCAAGAGGAAGATTTTTTATCTCATCCTAGAGTAGATAGATGTTTAATGAGCACTTGATTCATCTAGAGTATAAAATTTCATCGGAGAGCCTGGTGTTATTATTCAAGCCCATTTTGCAGTCAGACAGCTCCCACTCTTCTATAAAGTATTTTTTTTTCCTCTGTGAAAAACAAGGCCTTGGAGGCAAGTCAGGGGATGCACAATGACATATTGAATTTACTGGCTTTGTCTGGAACAATATGCAGAAATATTTCAGTGATGCAAGACCATATCTATAAATAACTCAAAAACATGGTGAAAGACTGTGCCAACAGATTGCTGAAATCCCCAGTGGTTTGAATGGGAGTTTACTAGAGAGAATTCCTAAAAGATTACAGTTTCAAGTAGAATGGAGCCAAATAAAAATAAAACCAGAGAATCTAAAATGCCACTGCATAAAGAAATCATCTAATATTGCAAGAGAGCAACACTTGGTTGGCGTTTAGAGTTTTACAGTTTTAAATGTTGAATTTCTTTAAAGGGATTAATTTCCCCCTCCTTTCTTTCCCCTGACTTCCTTCTTAAATGGGAATTCATGTTAAATATGTATGCTTCAACCAGGAGTGGGGAAATACAGACAGGGCACCAAAATGCAGACAGCCAGATGAGCCATCAGGGCATGAAATTCTCCTTTTCCTTTCCCCATCTGTTTGCTGATCTTGATTTCCTAACTCCTCGCCTTGTTCTGATTTGCTTGGCAGATGCAGCCAGAAGCAGAAGTTGTGTTCAACTGGGGAGGAGCTGCAGAGCCACACCTCAATCCTGGCAGAACAGCCCCCTCCAAAACTTGGAGCTGTACTGGGATCACAGCCCCTCTGCCAAACCTGCAGCTGTCCTGGGGTCACAGCACACAGGCACCTCTAAATGCAGCTCAGTGCTGAGAGAAGCTTGCAGGAAAGTGTGTTTTTTCCCAAATTAATCCTTCCTTTATATCAACAAAGCTGAACTGATAGCTTCAACCACGGACAAGTCAAGCAGGCTGCTTTTGCAAACCTATAGGAATGAATCACACCTTGGCTACTTCTCTACTTGAAAAAAAAGAAAAAAAAAAATCTTTGGAGCAGCTACTATTGCATAACAGGTTTAACTTGTCACCTTCCTCTCCCTTCTGTGACACTGCAGTGTCATCAGGGAAAAACAGAAACTTACTCAGGACCCACACTGCATCCAATTTAAGTCATACAAAATTTTAACATTTGAGTCAAAATTCTAAGGCAAAACTTGTTCCTCTTAAGGGAATAGGTGAGATTGACAGATTAAAACAAATCAAAACAAAAACAAACAAACAAAAAACAAACAAACAAAACAAAAAAACCCCAAAAACCAAAAAAAACCCAAAAAAGAACCCAACCCTCCCCCCCAAAAAAACCAAAAAATCCCAAAAATCCAACAAAATAACCCCCAAACATTTGAAAGAAATTCAAGATGATGAAGATATTTTTTTAGCTACCCCAAGATCCAGTTCTGCCCTGGTTCAGTTCCCCTTAGAAACAGAGGTTTTCTGTTGTACTTGGCTTTTTTCCTTCCCTCTTCCACACACACTCTTCCTGCTGGTCTTTGAGGAAGGCTCAATTCAGGTAGGAAATTCAGGAAATCCTGCCCTCTTAAGATGTACTCAGACTTTCACATCAATTAAACTAATTGGCAGCAAGTGCCGCGCGTACCTTAATCGCAACTGCAAACACCCTGTGATTATACCAAATCCTTTCTGAAAACGAGATTGTTATTTTTATAGGTCTCTGAAAGAGATACTTAAAAAGAAAAATAGGAGTCTGTGTTAGCATATTTCACTGTATTACTTCCAAAGGTCAAAGTGTCCAAATAAATAACCTTGCCCCAATAAGCTTATCTGTTTCAAAAATATAAATTAACATTTTTATTTTGTAACCATGATGTGCTCTTTTTCACCAATTTGCACCTTTAGTAAAGTCTTGTTTCAATCAGCCCCCAGCGCCATAAAATCTCTCATATTAAATTTTAGCATTTTAACTTGGACAGGGAACATAGCATTATTTAATGATCTTTATTATATTTTTAATTAAAAGACTAACAGCTAAAGTGAGAGGATCAATATCACCCAAACATGAGCCCATTGTGAAGTGCTGCTTCAAATGTCACAGCCAGGTAGGGCTGCACCAGAAACTCAGGACTGGAGGGGCACAATAGAAGAATCTGAAAGAGGCTTAAATCAGTGCCCAGAGGCAGCACCTGGCAAAGGTCTGGCCAGGACTCCTCCAGCCATCACTAACAATCCCCAGGGAGCAGCATGCACTAGGAGCACATCTGCAGCAGTTGCTCTGTTTGGGGCCACAGATATCCCCAGGGATCTAAGTCACCAGGGGACATTTTCATCATCTTCCCACCACTGCTAGTGCTGCAGGTCCAGCTTCACTCAGGCTCTCAGTGGCAACTCCAACATCACTTTGATTTAGATCCATCTTTGACTCCATGGAATGAAGCTGGGGCCCCACCCCCCATCTGAGACAGGACTCACAACATTACTAGCATTAGAAAGGCTACACATCATTTGTAGGACAGACAGGTGAGGCTCCTTCAGGAGACATTGAGGGGAAGAATCAGGTAAGCAAAGGCATAGCTGATGGGATATTATTCTTCCCAAGCAACAAAGCTGGGTCAGGACTCTTGTGACAGCAGACTAGAGGGAGACACAATGCTTATTCTGAAGTATAGCCTCCAAGGAAGCTGGTAACTGAAACATCTGTCCTTGCTTTTATGTATAACTCCTTCATGTGCCTGAAACAGCCAGTGTTGCTTGCTTAGAGTCTTGGGAAAGAAGAAGGAATTATTTCCAAAGAGAGATCACTGCACCCCAATACAAACAGCAGCTGTCACTGGTTCTGTGCGGAGCCTGAATGGAAGCAGGGCATGAGTGGCAATAGTCAGTCCTCAATTACCAAGCTGGTAGTTCACACTAAATCACACTGCTCTAGCTTCAGACACCCTTCTGAGCCCCCACAGTTCTACCACAGATATCTGGAGTATGTGGGAAAAGTGATTGACTGACTTTGTTTGTCTCTTTTCATCGCTACTAACCTAAAGGTTTTCTCAGGTAGAGCAGTTTGCTATGAGACATATCCAAGTCCTTTTTATCTCACTGCACTCCCAGAAGCCAGGGAGGTTTGACAGGGCAGTGTGCTTGCTTTAATTTTGCTGGACAGTGTCACTCACTCAATAAGGACCTCACGTGAACTTTGACTCTCAATGTGCAATGCCACAGCTTTGGGCAGGAAGACTATGCGGATTATAAAAGCCTGGGAGTTTTCACAAATGCAAATTTTCAGACATCCTACACTTAAGGTAATTTTTTTAAATGATATAGACATTGAAATAAGAGCCATTACAGATATCCCCTACCAAGTTTTTAAAGAAAATAGCCTACATTTTTTTTTTGATTGAGCAGTAGGTGATGAGGAGAGCAGACATGTACCACTAGGAGGCCACCCAGGAGGAGCCTTTTGGGAGACTCAGCTGGAGAAATGTCTGCTCCAGTCAGATCTGGCTGCCTCAGTCTCCAAAACACTCAGCTTTGTGGCAGTATTTCTGTGTGTACAAAAGCAAAACATTCAGAATGACAGCAGTCACTGGAAAATGTCAGGATCCCCACTATGACACATTTGAGTCCACTCCCCCTTACACCTTTGACATTTTTAGCTGAGCAGGTTTCAACCACTACTGAGAGAAACAATTAATGCCGAAGAGCACATCACAAAGGTTCAGTCTATGTGGGTGCTTCATGGGATGATCCTCTCAGTTAATATGACATTCTGTGCTAGATGAAAACTTACAAGGTTGTTGGTTCAAAGAACATTGCACACACCATGAGCAACTACTGCAACTTCTGAGCTCGACCTTTCTCTGAACATTTTTATTACTGTACCACTGCAAAAGAGTTCTTCCAAGGCAGTGAAGACTCACAAAAAGGTGTTTCAAATAACTTAGATTCTTAAGATAAGATTAAGATTCTTAAGTTACCTAAGATAATTTAAATTCAGCTTTTACTTATTTAGCAAAAAAACCCATACAAAATTAAATAAAATTATTAACATTATTTTGAGCCTATCATATAAAAAGTAATGGGAGCTCTAGGCATTCAAGAGTTTTAAAAAGAACAGTAAGAAGAAAAATTTTTATAGTTTTTACTAGAATAGCAAGTCTGCTTCAATCTAAATAACTTCGAAAGGGAATATCCTGAGATACTGTGTGGAAGATTAAAGCATAAAAAGGAGAAAACTTGACTATTTTACTTCCTCTCATGCAAAAGTCATCTCTGCTGGGCAGAACAGCAAATACCCACTTTCTGCCCCCAGTGGGCAGGATTTACCCTTTAGGATGCAGCCTTGGGAAAGCAAATATTACTTCAACATCCCTGACAACCAGAGGGAATAGATAAAAGTGTAACTGCAAATTAGAGGGAATTGGAATAAAACAGGAAAGGTTACAGGGCAGTGTGAAATCCCACTGATACCTCACCTAACTCTTCAAGAGATGCAACTTGAAGGATTTTTGATGATCTTGTTTACTGGTCTTGGGTTGGGATTCTTTTTGGGGGGGATGACAATTCTGAGTGACCATTATGCATATTCTCATTTGACTGGAAGCAAAAAACGTAAATTACAACTTACAGCTTGCAGCTCAAAGGGTTTTTAAATATTAATCATTTGCATATATGTATAAATAACAATTTTAACAATGAGAGTATCATGAGCAACAATGAATGAGATCCGATTATAAATGATGTCAGGCATTCAAGAGATGTTTTTACTGTAATTAAGAGATGATGGTGGAAGAAAAGCAGCCTTCAGAAATTGAGACCTTTTGCACAATGAAGTTCAAGCAATTTAGATTTGTTCTTGTTAAAGGGTTCTCTTCCATTGTTTGCCATTTTAAATTTAATCCTTTTTTTCCCCCCCCTGTCTAGGGAGTTTCACCATTCATTTTTCTTGCAGGATCTTTATAGACTAAGTTTTTACAGTGGCAGTATTTCATTAGAATTTCTCCATAGAGAAACTTTTTTGTATTATTTTAATGGAATATTAGGATACAACCTACCAATGAAATATCCTGGCTCCAGTACAATCCCACAAGGAAAGTATCAAATGCCTTAACATCAAAGACATTTAAAACTCGACTGTAGAAAATCCAATAGAATTTTCCATAGAAAAACAAACCTTCCTCAGTGAGAGATTACATGTGACCAGAAACCTAACAGTCCACCATGTTCCTCTGATTTCTATATCCTCTCTTGTCTGAAATGTGTAGGATATGTCAGTAACTCATGCACCTCTCCAGTCAGCCTCTGTGAACAAGAATAACTCCTTCTCCCTACTTCATATGAGGCCCCTTCTTGGTATTCAATTCTGAAAATAGAGTTTGTATATCCTCTGAGGAAAGTTTACTGCAGTGAGGCAGCCACAATGAACAGAAATGTCAACTCTTAATGACAAGAAAGGAGTTTACTCAAAAAGATACTGATCTTTGTATATAGGAGTATATGCATGGCTTAGATTATAGGAATTCAAATGTGAAGCGAAGAAGTTCTTAAGGATCCCAAAATGTGATTGCATGAAAAGGCCATTTATTGAGTATATCCTTCTCATTTCTCTCAGCTTTTCAGGCTTGTATTTTCTGAGACTTTTAATTAAAAGATAATACCAAAAGATCTTTGGGTTTTAAATTAAATTCTCATATTTGCCTGCTTCCTCCAGTATGTGTTTAGCCTTTCCCATCAAATATCTCCCAACTGTCAGTGAAAGACACCAATGTACTCAACAGGAAGAGCGAAATACCTGTCTCTGTCTCCCTCTTCTCTCTTTTTTCCACCAGCACATCAGGAGGTCAGGTCTGAAGAGAAATTTATGCATTTCTGTTGTGGAGGGGATTGGGACCTGCTGTGTCATGGATTGATCACCACAGTAAACACAGGCTGTAGGTTCTCTGGGACATTCTCACACACTACAGGCAGTTTTGAAATAATTGCAGGGAAACGAAGCCATGATAACAGGATAAACCAATCTAAACCCACAAAAATCCTACAAAACCTACCAGAAAAGCCTTGCACAGCCCTGGACCGGAGCTTTTCACCCAGAACTTACCTTGTAACTGAAATTATTTTCACACCAGATATCTGGCTAGCTTATAGCCTTTTAAATATCTTACTCATCTCTGCACTTCCTAAGAGGTAATAGAAAAAATGAAATAGGTAATAGAAAAAATGAGATAGGCAGATATTCATTTCTATGACATTCCTTTAAATGTTAATATTTTAGTTTGCATTTTAAAGTGAATCAAAACACCATTTAGCAAAGATGAAGGCACAAAACTTCAGAAAAAAAAATTAAAAAAGGTAGATTAGTCAGTGAAGATTAAAATTGCTTCAATTCCAGTGCTGTAATTTAATGCAGAACATGGTGCAGACAAAATGCTTCTCTATGAGTTTATTTCCTCTCTCTCTGCCCATCTTCTTGCAAGTTGTTACTTCATTTCACCGAGAAGGCTGAAATCAATATAATGAGTAGAAAAGCACGCAAATTAGAAAAGTGTGTGTCAAGTGGCAGTATAAAAAGAACAAGTGAGAATTCTGTTCCAGCAGAAAATCTCCAAAAAGCCTTCCACACCATCAACATGGATTCATTTCCATAAGAAACAAATTGGCAGTTGATGCTGATGAAGGCTGCCCTACACTTTCCTGCTAATAAGTGACACCAGGGGCCTTATTACAAAGTATTTCTAAACATAAGAAAATCAGTAATGGGGCCCCCAAGGGCCAGGTCCACAAACTGCGGCCCTGCTCCGTGCCCATGTGCACAGCCACTGGTTTCCAAGGCAACTAACCCGAGCACAGAAGCCGTGTGAGACACTTGGGTAGGAAAGTTAGGCAAAGCCTTCTCAGGATTTTCATTTTCTATAGGGCCGGAGCGTTAGGGAGCATAGCTTTTCCTTGGTCTTGGACTAGAGTCAGCCTGGGTTTAGATATCACCTATTGGCATCATCTGAAGCCATAATGCAACCAAAGAAATAATACAGTGTGTCACAGCTGAGAATGCTCAGGGCATGTTCCTCACTTCTCTTCTTACTTTTTGACTGTTAAAAAAGAATGCAGCACATGAATGAGGACTGCAAGCGGCCATGTTCCCTTCCTGGACCTTCAGGGAACAGAAGAGATTAAGACTATTTGGTTTGTTCACTTTTGCCATTGATTCTGGTCATGCTGCTGATGTTAACACCAACAATATCCTATCAGCTTCCAACAGCACTTTCTCAGCTGTCAGACAGCAACTTTTCCAAACTTATCTAAAGTAGGGGGGAAATAACTATAGACCACCTAAAACATGCCCAAACCATTATCTATTTCCATGCCAGTTGAAGAATCACTTCATTCACCTGAAAATTTTCAGGCTTTTTCTAAACACCAAGGTTGTTTTCAACATGGACCTTAGAAAGCCAGGAAAGATAGGACACTAGGAT